CCTTTGGGAGGCTGAGGTGAGAGGATTGCCTGAGCCCGCGGGTTCGAGACCCGCTAGAGCAACTTGGCGAGACCGCATCTCTACAATAAATCAAAAAATCAGCCGGGCATGGTAGCGCGTGCTTGTAATTCCGGCGAAGACTGAGGCAGAAGGATCACCGGAGCCCAGCAGGTCGAGGCTGCAGTGGCCGGGAGCGGCCACTGCACTCCAGTCTGGGCGACAGAGTGAAACTCCAACTCAAAAGAAAAAGAAAGTAAGTTGGAGAGAGAAAGTATGAGAAAGGGGAGATTCACTCCTCAAGGTAGGGGGGATGGCAAAGCCAGGAAGCATAGCTCAGAGGGCACACGACCACACCATAGTTTAGCAAGGCAATGGCCGATTGCTTGTCTTTTGAATCAGAGTCTCATTCTGTCACTCTGACGCCCAGGCTGGAGTGCAATGGCACAATCATGGCAACGGCAGCCTGGACCTGCTGGGCTCAGGTGATCCTTCCATCTCAGCCTCCCAAGTAGCTGGGACTACAAGCATGTGCCACCGCACCTGGCTATTTTTTTTTAATTGTAGACAAGTTCTCACCATGTTGCTCAGGCTGTTCTCAAACCCCTGGGATCAAGCAATCCTCTCACCTCAGCCTCCCAAAGTGCTAGGATTACAGGCATGAGCCACCGGACCCGGCCAAGAAACTCAAGCTTCATTCTTTCTGATAGCACTGCTCTAGGAAGCTACTTCTGCTTAACAGCATGGAGACATTATTTACATATCAAATTAGCTCGTTTAAAATACACAGTTCAGTGGTTTTCGTGTAGTTACAGAGTTGTACAACCATCACCACAATCTAATTTTAGTACATTTTCATCACCCCAAAAAGAAACTCTGTACACATAGTCACACTCTATTTCGCCTAGCTCTAGCATGAAGTTAGACTAGGAACTAATCTACTTTCTATCTTTATGGATTTACCTATTCTGGACATTGCTTATGAATGGAATCCTTCCATATGTGACCTTTTGTTCCTGGCTTTTTTTTTTTTTTTGAGTCAGAGTCTCACTCTGTTGCCAAGGCTGGAGTTCAGGGGCATGTCCACGGCTACCGCAACCTCGACCTGCTGGGCTCAGGCGATCCTTTCACCTCAGCCTCCTGAATAGTTGGGACTACAGTCACGGCTAGCTAATTTTTTGATTTTTTGTAGAGACAAGGTCTTACTGTGTTGCCCATGCTGGTCTCCTTTGTGCCTGGCTTCTTTCACTTAGCATGATGTTTTCAAGGTTCATCCACATTTTGGCATGTATCTGTACAATATTTCATTTCTTTTTTCCTCCAATCACTTAATTTTTGTTTCGTTTTGTATTGTTTTTAGAGTTAGAGTCTAACTCTGTTGTCCAGACTGGGGTACAGCGACATGCTCATGGCCACCACAGCCTCAACCTGCTGGGCTCAGACGTTCTTTCCACCTCAGCCTTCCAAGTAGCTGGAACAACAGGTGTGTGCCACCATGCCTGGCTAACTTTTTTATTTATTGTAGAGACAAAGTCTTGCCAGGTTGCCCAGGCTGGTCTTAAACCCCTGAGCTCAGGCAATCCCCGGGTCCTTCCAAAGTGCTGGGATTACAGACATGAGCCACCACACCCAGCTTTTTTTTTTTTTTTTTTTTTTTTTTGAGTAGGAGTCTCACTCTGTCACCGAGGCTAGAGGGTAGTGGCACACTCACAGCTACTGCAGCCTCGATCTGCCGGGCTCAGGTGATCCTTCCTCCTCAGCCTTCCAAGTAGCTGGAACTACAGGCATGTACCACCACACCTGGCTAATTTTTTGATTTATTGTAGAGATGTGGTCTCGCCAAGTTGCCCAGGCAGGTCTCGAACCTGTGGACTCAAGCAATCCTTTCACCTCGGCCTCCCAAAGTGCTGGGATTATAGGTGTGAGCCACCACACCTGGCCTTTTTAAAAAAAATCTTTATAGTTAGGTCTTCCTGTACTGCCCAGGTTGGAGTGCAGTGGTGTAGTCATGGTTCACCATGGGGTGACTCCCCACGGATTACCAACTCAGGTCTAATCCTGGGTTCAGGTGATCTGTCCACCTCCGCCTCTTGAGTAGCTGGGACTACAGTCATGTACCACCATGCCCATCTAATTTTTTTATTTTGTAGCAGCAAGATCTCGCTATGTTGCCCAGATTGGTCTCAAACTCCTGGGCTCAAGCAGTTCTCCTGCCTGGGCCTCCCGAAGTGCTGGGATTACAGGCTTGAGCCACCATGCCCAACCATTGCCCATTTTAAAATTGGGTTATTTGGGTTTTTGTTGTTGAGTTGTAGAGTTCTTTATATATTCTGTATAGTAACTCCTAATCAGATATGATTTGCATATATTTTCTCCTATTCCATAGGTTGCTGTTTCACTCTGTTAATTGTATCCTTTTATGCCAAGACATTTCCTTCCTTCCTTTTCTTTTTCTTTCTCTCTCTCTCTCTCTCTTTCTTTCTTTCTTTCTTTCTCTTCCTTTTTTGAATTGGGGTCTCACCCTGTGGCCCTAGCTGGAGTGCAGTAGCACAATCTTGGCTCACTACAACTTTGGCTTCCTACTTCAGCCTCCTGAGTAGTGGAACTACAGGCTCATACCACGACTTCCAGTTGATTTTTTAATTTTTATTTTTAGTAGAGACAAGGTCTTGCTATGTCACCCAGGCTGGTCTCAAATTCCTGGGTTCAAGCATTTCTCCCGCCTCAGCCTCCCAAAGTACTGGCGTGACAAGCATAAGCCACTGGCTGATATTTTCAATTTCGGTATAGTCCAATTTATTTGTTTTTGCTTTTGTTACTTGTACTTTTGGTGTCATTGCTGAAAAAAAATCATTGCCGCCGGGCTCGGTGGCTCAGCCTGTAATCCCGTGCCTTTGGGAGGCTGAGGTGAGTGGATTGCCTGAGCCCACGGGTTCGAGACCCACCTGGGCAGCAAGACCTCCTCTCTACAATAAATCAAAAAATCAGCCGGGCGTGGTAGCGCATGCCTGTAATTCCGGCTACTTGGAAGCTGAGGCGGAAGGATCGCCGGAGCCCAGCAGGTTGAGGCTGTGGTGGCCGGGAGCGGCCACTGCACTCCAGCCTGGGCGACAGAGTAAGACTCCAATTCAAAAAAAAAAGAAAGAAAAGAAAACCATTTGACAATATGTGCTAGAGTCATTTCTTTGCTCTCTATTCTATTTTTTTCATTGCTTTTTCTGGCTGAATAAGATTCTATTGTATGGACATCCCATATTTTATTTGTGATAAGCCTAATATTTTATCTCAGCATTGAATCAGTTGGTGTTGTGACTTCTGTGATTTATGGACTACTGAGCCCTTGCCCGGGAGCTCTGTCTTGATTATTAAAACATTGTCCCTTCTGACGGTAGTGTCTGTTTTGTGTGTTTGCATTACTTTCGTTTGTGTGTTTGATCTGTGTACATTCTCCATGGAAATTCTAGAACCCCTGTAGGAGAAAATCAGGTACATCTACCACAAAGAAAGCTACCAATACATTCTTGAAAAAGACAAGCTCCATGACTGGACTTTCTGACTAGGCTATTCCAAATCTCAAATCCATCCTAAAACAACTCAAATGTTGTAAACCACACTGCTAATTTTGCTGTTGGGCGCGGTGGCCCACACCTGTAATCCCAGCACTTTGGAAAGCGGAGGGGAGAGGATTGCCTGAGTTCAGGGGTTCAAGACCAGCCTAGGCAATTTGGCGAGACCACATCTCTACAATAAATCAAAAAATTAGCTGGGCGTGGTAGCACACGCCTGTAGTTCCAGCTACTTGGAAGGCTGAAGTGGAAGGATCACCTGAGCCCAGTAGGTCAAAGCTGCAGTGGCCATGAGCGTGCCACTGAACTCCAGTCTGGGCAACAGAGTGAGACTCCGATTCAAAAAAAAAATGCTGAGCAGGCTATGTGTAGAATGCTTTCTGATTTTCAAAGCAGACAATGCTTTTCGTCTTGTTAATCACTCCTTCTTCTTTACCCTCAAAGTGTCTCCCCACAAGCAAGTCCTCATAATGCTTTGCAGGGAAACAATGAGGGTCGCAGCTAGCATTTCTCTGGGTGCTGCCTGGGGGCTTGGTGTCTCACACATTATCGCATAATCTCATGAATTCCTCGCCCCAGCCCGACCAGGTAGGCCCTGCTATTGACCCCATTTTGCAGAGAAGGAAACTGAGGCTCGGAAGCATTAGGTAACTTAACGGGTGACAACGCTGGCTACGTGGAGGAGCCGAGGAATGAACCGTGAGTAGAACAGGGATTTTCCAGGTAATGGAGGGGTCAGAGTGAAGTCAGATGCCCCAGGTCCTGGTGACAATTTTCCCGGGAACCCAGGAGAACTTCAAGTCTCTGGACCCTGTCGCGCTGCCCGCAAAAGTAGCTTCCTGTGTGGCTGCGGGCTCCAGAAAACACCTTCAACCACCGGCCCGGACCTTCCACTCGTCCGATGCAAATTCTCTGGCTGGAAAGCCTGGGCGTGGAAGGGGAAAAGCCGCTGCCTTCGCACCCGGCGGGGCAGGCGGCGCAGTGGAAACCCCGCCCCCGTCGCCACGGCAACGCGGCTCCTCCCCCCCGCCCCGCGCGGAGGGCGCCGGGGGCGGGGCTGGGGCGGGGCTGG